TTGCCGTTTTATTAGAAAAATCAAGTTTTGTAACTATGGTTATGCAAGAGATATTACCATATCTGTTGTATAACATGTATTGTTTTGTGTTTTACACATTTGTATTTATGTTTTATTGAATTAATAAGAAACAATTATAGGACTCAATCAATGAAATACTAATCATTTTTATAATAGATTTATAAATTGATATTTAAGTATACTGTACTTTTATTTATTAGTTTAACCGTTAAGTTTATAAATAAATTTCTCACTAATATTACTTTTTATACCCTTTTTAAACCAGTCAAAAATAACCATTTTTATAAATTTTCAAATAATTTGTTAAATAAAATGATTAATCTTTTAAATTTACATAAATTGTGAATAATAAGAAAAATTAGTAACAATTTAAATTCATTAGATCTAAAGTATATAAAGTTTACATTAAAGAAAATATCGAAAGAGATGTGACTGAAAAGTCAGTTTTGAGTTTTGGTACAACTTATATTCAATTCAAATATGCATTATGTTTGTAACATAACATTTAAAAGTTAGTTAAACCTGAGTTAACCAAATTTTAGAGACTGTTTACAAACAAAAGGCGGGACTTCCGTCAGTCACTGTTAAAATTATTTAAGTGATTAGGTGCAAGCAATCACACAAATCGGACATTGCTAAATTGTGCAAGGGATCACACTTTTAATGTACTGATGATACAGATTTGTGTGTTGCCTATTTTTACTTAATATGGGGGGGGGGAAATAACATGTATTAAAAACAAAAATTAAGCCATTTTAATGCATTTATCTTATTAATTATACACGTAATATCATTTTAATCACTAATTATTTCATATTCAACGATTGATTCAATTGTTTTAAAAACTTGTAAATCTGGAAACAATTGATTTTGGTTTAGATTTTCTCATTTTATAAGCGCTAATTATTTTTGAACCAAATGAGTAAACACATTTGATATACGAAAACAATTTGCACGTGTTTAACCTAAACTAAGTCAATTATTTTGAGTCTATTAATATATTATGTCCGCAATTTATAGTTAACAAGTTTTATTCTCTATAATGAATAATTAAATTCAATATTCACATAAAACTAATAATAAATATAATAAAACAACAGTTCATTGTTTATAATTGAATTTTATGTGAAATAATTAGTGATTAAAATGATATTACATATATAATTAATAAGATAAATGCATTAAAATGGCTTAATTTTTGTTTTTAATACATGTTATTCCCCCCTCCCCATATTAAGTAAAAATAGGCAACACACAAATCTGTATCATCAGTACATTAAAAGTGTGATCCCTTGCACAATTTAGCAATGTCCGATTTTTGTGATTGCTTGCACCTAATCACTTAAATAATTTTAACAGTGACTGACGAAAGTCCCTCCTTTGTTTTGTAAACAATCCCTATAATTTCCTTAACTCAGGTTTACCCTATTTTCATCTGTAATTACTAATTAAATATTATAAATAAAATAAAAATTAAATATCATTGAATTTTTAAGGCAGGAAATTTTAAAATTATAACTTAAATTATATACAATACAAAACACAGTATAAACAGCATGGGCAATTAAATTTTAATCACGGCTATAATTATAAACAATTAGTTATCATTATACAGGGAACGGTATACTCGGCCATTGGGCCGGCCCTGGTTGATTTAAAATACATTCTGGACACCACTATGGACAAAATATCGCTCATATTCATATTTCAAGCTGCAGGTTTAGTTATGGGCGCTTTGTGTAAGTAAACCTAACACCCAAAATCACCTAGGACTAAATAATTAACCTAATACTTTATACGCATAGTTGGTCTATTAACCAAACACCTGAACCGGCAACTGATGCTAACAGCCCTGTTGACCATGATGTCAGTGGCCAGCCTATTGATACCCTGGTCACAGCGTCTATCACACCTGTACTTATACAACGGTATATTTGGTATGGGCGCCGGCGCCTGGATTAACGCCAAAAACGTCTGGACCATTGAGTTGTGGCAGCACAGGTCGGCACCCGTACTACAACTATCCGCCCTTATGTTTGGTGTGGGCAGTATTCTGGGCCCTCTTATCGACGACCCGTATCTGATTGGTCACATCAAACAACTGACTGTTATAGACAATACACCGATTGATGGCCTGACCGGTGCCGTCGGCAATGATAGCGCCGGTAGTTTCGATGTAAACGTTACGGTCATTGAGGATCAACGGCTACATAACGTTAGGTCGCCTTTCGTTATATGCGCTATCATTCAGATCATCGGTATTTAGGATTAATTAAACTAAAAAAATAATTTATTTATTTATTTATTTAAAACAAATTAATATTAGCGCAACTTATTATAAAAATAATTTTAAATTAATAACACAGCAAAATATAACTAAATAAATTTAACCATGATTATAAAAACTTTTTTTTCAGGTCCAATACTACTGATAATCATGTATTTCCTGCGAAAGTACGAGAAAGGGGGCGACAAATACATGGAGATCGAGGACAGGGCGGACATCGAACGGAAGGCCACCATCGCTCGCATACCGTACCTTAAATTCTCAATCATAGCCCTCGTCTCTCTATTCCTGGCGTTTCACATGTCGTCGGAGCAAAACACGCAACAATTCTCGGCCACATTCTTCCAGGACATACAGATGAAACTGACGGCCAGTAAGTCGGCCGAAGTGGTATCGGCTATGGCTGTGGCCAACACTGTGGGTCTGGCCGTATCGGTGCTGGTCTCGGCTGTGGGCGTACGGCCCCAGTATATGATAACCTATCACTTGTTGTTTATATTTGCCGGCCTTAACATACTTTTCCTGGACGAGACGTCCGAGTTGTTGCTATACGTGGGCAGTCTATTGCTGTCCTACGGGTTTAGCGCCGTATACCCGGCTGTTTTCGCACTCGCCTCCCGCTATATCGACGTGACCGACACGATTGGCACAGTGTTTATGGTCTCGTCGGTGGTGTTGAACCTATTCCTGCCGTTTGTGATTGGTTTGTATATCGAGGTCTACGTGTATGTGCTGTTGGTGTCCATAGCGGCTAATCTGGCCATAACTGTCATTGTGTTTATATTTTTACAGCAACTCATTAATAAATATTGTAAATAGTTATTTATTTTTGTCCCATGTTGTGTTTATTTTTAAAGGTAATATTGCTTGGTGAATTTTTAAAGTTAAGAAATTAAACATGGTTGCCTTTGAGAAAATCAAGTTAATGTCATACATGGGGAATGGGACATAAGGCATTATGTATACAATAATTAAGTTAAACATTAAGTTATTTAAATTCATTTAGATAACTTTGGCCGTAATATTGTTAATTCGTATATCTTTAGAAACATCATGATTAGTAATGATATAATCTATATGAAAATTTAATAAACAATTAACACTTATTTACAAAAATATAAATAAATTGTATACAGACTTCATAACAGCGCCAATAATTTATGGTAAAGAAGTTATAACACGAAAATCCAAACTTTTTCTCACATATTCTTTCCAAAAGTGTTAATAACTATAAAATAATTAAAATTAGAATCTATTAATCTGTACAATAAAAGCATACCTTAATTTGTATTAATACGCGATTTCTTAATTTATTTCTATTTGTCTTCAAATATGTATTAATTAATTTGTATAATATTTTTGTTGATGTTTTTGCCTTATAATTGACGGCCGAAGCCGTGAATATTATGTATAGGAATATAGCCGTAACGACAATACATATATAAATGAATATAAATGTTAAAACTACAATCATTTCGTAAAATGATATCATAAATTGAAATGTAATAACAATTAAACCAGAGATTAACCAAAATGATAGTAAATATTTAGACCAATAACTAGTGTTGTATTCATTGACTTCTGTGTATAAATCAGTGAAATCCTCGATAATTTTCAATAAATTTTTATATATTTGATTATTTATTAAATCATTGTATTTATCATTTAATTCATTAATTTTAATTATAATATATTTACAAATTATGAAGAAATATAATATTTTATACAATAATATATTCCATATATAATAATTCCAAACAATATATAATATTGAATTTGGAATTCCGTAGATTATTGTATTAAATATTGTTGTTTTTGTGTAATATATAATTGGTATTATAATTGCACTAAATATTCTTACACTATATGTATTGTTTTGATAAACAAATTTAAACAAACGTTTTGATTGTTTGGCAAACTTTTCAATAACTACTGGATTTGTGAGACCAATAGATTTCGGTGAACGTAAACCCGAAAGCAT